AGCGGTCTCGGCCCAGTCCCTGATCCACCTGTGCACGGAGGCGCCCTGTCAGGTCGAGGAGGCGCCGCCCGGCTGCGCGGAGCTAGCGCGCGTCAACGACGGCGAGGAGCGCGACCTCATGCGGCTGCCGCGGGGGACTCGGCGACTGCAGTGGGGCATTCTACCAGACGCCCCTGACGGAGGACAGGATCTTCTTGGGACCGCCACCCGAACCAGGAGCTTCAGCAGGTTACGCGTGGGAAGCGCCCTGCGCGTTCCCAGGATTCAAAAGGGCACCCAGGCACGGGTGGACTACCGCGCATTGGCGATGGAGCGGATGGGTCTTGATCGGCGGCGCTACGACGGCTGTCTTCTCATGAGGACCCAACGCAAGGTCAAGGCAGGACGTCGCGCCGATGACTTTCTCGTGGCTGCGCCCCGGGAGACAGTGGGCCAACTATTGGCGGAAAGGAGAATGAAACTTCGGCTTTCGGACGCGAGTAGATTAAGCATGCGGGTCCGCACGATCGAGGGCGGCTAGACCATCAAGGGTACTACGTCGCTGATTGAGGACGTGCTACTGGGAGCCCAGGTTGCACACAGCGAGACGCTCAGTCGTCCCAGAGACGAACACTCAGTTAAATCGATGGAAGACGACGAGCTCTTGAACGCAGCAGGCCACGGCGCGCACAGGTGGGCAGGTTATGACAACTATCAAGCCACAGGGCTGACATGCAACGCGGAGTTGGAGTGCTTTGCCGCGGCCTGGCGGCGCCAAGTAAGAGAGACCAGCGTTGGTTGAAGAAGATTGAACGGTGCGTGGCAGGGACCAAGGACGTAGAGTTGGTACTGCGGCCAGACAAGGACGCAGGCTTGGCAGACAACGAGGGCGACTGGTGCGCTGTGTTGCAGTGGGCACGGCGTCAGGGCGGCGTGGCCTTGAGCTCGCTGGAAAGCGAGCTGTGCGCAGTCGGATTTGGACTGGCATCGCTGACTTGCGATCCGCATGAGTGCGCGACGACTGTCCTGGCGGGCGAGACCGGCAGCGCACTGCACATTGCGAAGAAGAGAGGACTTGCTAAGAGAAATCATATGCCGAGATTAAGGTCCTTTATTTGCAGCAGTGGCGCAAACAGAAGCACCTGGAGTCCGACAATATCCACGCGGACGACAGCGAAGCAGACATGCTGACGAAGCCGACTACCCAGAAGCAGCTCGTGAATTTTTCTCACAGCGCAGGTTCAGTAGGCGGACTGTTCCGCCCTGTTGTCGACGACGAACTAGCAAAGGCAGCCCGGACATTCTGCAGCAAGAAAAAAGTCTTGAGCGAGGAGGGTGGCGATGGAACACCACTCGGGGTATCGATGAAGATCGAATACAAGACTCACTTAAGATAAGCAGTCAAACAGGCAAGGAGCCTGGAAGAGGGTGTTCCTGGGCTCGTCCAGAAGTACGCTCGAGTAGACAACCTTCCACCGTAATAGTAACTGCACAAGAAATGGGAAATGCTGACAAAACCAGATACAGGACTGACGGCGAGGCCAACGCGCCTTGCCCAACCGAGTTTTCCCAGATATTTCCTTACGATCCCCAGGCCTACAGGCCTGGCGGAATCGTGAGAGGTAATGTGTAACGCGTAGGAGACTGGAGGCATGCATGGCCGAGGGTGGATGCATTGCATGAAACGGTGAAGGTGGTCGCGTAGAAGTAAGCCAGTGATACTGGTGCGATACAGCGTTGAGACCTTCATTGTGTAAGTGCGTGCGCGATCCGCAGTCTCTTCGGCGCGAAAGCGTCACTGGGGACTGCCTCTTCATCCCAGGTCGTTTCTTGACGGTCCGGGGGCCTCGTGAGGCCCCCCAGAGGCCGGAATCATTGCACATTTCAAAGGCCCTGTAAGAGATATCTGAACATTTTGTTTCGTTGCTCTTTTCCTCAGCGGCAGGGGCATTCCAACGGGCCCATCGGTATCCAACATTCGCCCCTTCGATCTTGTGTGTTTACACGGTTTGAAAGGTCATTGGATGCGGTTCGATTCATACATATGTATATGCCTATATATATATATGAATACTGTGGAAGTAGTGATGATCAGGTCGGTTTGTACGTATATTATATATGATCAGATACGCGCACGATGTTGCCATGCTAATTTTAGTGCCCGGTCCAGTTTTAGATATGAATGCATTTGTAGATATACACAAATGACCGCTGGAAAACCAATCCAGACAACATACATGCGAATAGATACGGCGCCATGTCCACAATGCCACGCCGAGTCCGCGCAACGACCACGAGCACGGATACCATTGCAAATGACGGTCAGGACGACGACGATGGGGCGGAACGAAGAATAGGAGGGATAGAGAGGGGTTATGGTGGACGAGCAGAACGATTACGAGGACCAGCGCGACGGAGAAATGGAGTCCCTTTTACTCCCTCGCGCGACGTCCTCTCGCTTTCGCGCAATGTCATACCCTCCAGTTCCTTCCCTATTGCCGCCACCCTCCGTGTCATTATTGCTCTCCTGTTTTATCCCTTTTTCCACCTCTTGGCTCCCGCCCCTCTTGCCCCATCGTACCGTCGTCGTCAATTTCACCGCCACCCATCCTAAAACGTCCTCGTTGCTTCTCGCACTTGTTTGCCCACGTCACCAGCGCCCCGCACCAATCCCTTCGCTCTGAAACTCTCGATCTGATGTATCCTCCCCCACGCCCGCCTCCTCCTCGCTCCTCGTTATCCCTCCTCCCTCCTCGTCCTTCTCCTCTCCCTCATCTTCCCCCCGATTCTCCGTTTCCTCATATTTCCATCCAGAATCATATGTCGTTCTTTTGTATCATTAATGTCCCTATTTCTCCTCTGTGTCCTCCTGACCTCATCGTTCGTTTCCTCACTCATCCTCGCTACGGTTTCCTCTCAATCCCCCCCAGATTGATCATTACTGCGCTTATCTTCGCTCCGAGAGCAACACCCAAGGCGTCCATTCTGACCACGTAAGGTTCGAACAGATACTGTGCGACAGCTGCTTTCTTGGAAAACTAGGTACCAACATATTTCTTTTTAGAAGAGATGCTGCGGACACAGTTTTTCAATTTGTTCATACATTTAAACAATAGACATGGTTGGATACTTAGGCGCTCTCGTGCAGACCAGGCGACGCACCTTCTATATACATATATATATATATATATATATCGGAGGTGAGGGGGTGAGATCGAAGTGGAACGGAGAGCCCCCCTACCGGGAAATCGATTTCGGTTTCGTGTTCGTGCGTGCCGTGCGTGCGGGCGAGGCGAAGCTGCGTGGGCGGGCGAGAGGAAAGTCTCCTGTGGCTGAGGCGCGGCCGGACCAAATGATTCTCCACCGGGCGGCCGGTGGCGCGCGGTGTCCCGCCGGTGTCCCGCCGGTGTCCCGTCGGTGTCCCTGTGGCTGAGGCGCGGCCGGACCAAATGTGTCTCTTCCGGGTGGCCGGTGGCGCGCGGTGTCCCGCCGGTGTCCCGTCGGTGTCCCGTCGGTGTCCCGACAGTGATGGTCCCCGATGATTATGATGATGGTGATGATGATGGTGATGATGATGATGATGTTGATGATGGCGATGATGATGATGATGATGATGATGATGATGATGTTGATGTTGATAATGATGATGACGTCGATTGTGAGATCGATTGTGAGATCGATAGTGAGATCGACAGTGAGACCGAATGTGAGACCGAATGTGAGATCGATTGTGAGATCGATTGTGAGATCGATAGTGAGATCGATAGCGAGATCGACAGTGATATCGATAGTGAGATCGAATGTGAGATCGATTGTGAGATCGATATGTTGATGATGGCGATGATGATGATGATGATGATGATGATGATGATGATGATGATGATGTTGATGATGATGATGATGATGATGATGATGATGATGATGATGACGTCGATTGTGAGATCGATTGTGAGATCAATAGTGGTATCGACAGTGAGACCGAATGTGAGACCGAATGTGAGATCGATTGTGAGATCGATTGTGAGATCGATAGTGAGATCGATAGCGAGATCGATAGTGATATTGATAGTGAGATCGAATGTGAGATCGATTGTGAGATCGATAGCGAGATCGATTGAGTGAGACGTTGGTTCCCCCTCCCCCTCACCTCCCTATCACCCGCAGGGTGGTCGTATAGGTATATATGTGTGTGTATACACACACGTGGCGCCCGTGGCAGAAACAAGTGGTACGAATGGCTTGTCGCCTGCACCAGGGCGCGATCGCATTCAAACCGCATTCGAAATAATTATGTATGTCTTGCAGATATGTCGCCCTGATTTTTCACGGCGCGAGGGGTTCTGTGCATGACCCATTCCGATTCAATCGATCTGGTTCGACGACGAGTTTATTTGGATCTATCCGATTCGGTTTCGATTTCTTGGCGATCCGATGCGGCCTGATGTTTGCGCAGCGCGGTGTTGCATCTGGGCACAGAGAAATTCGATTCGACCCCGACTCCGTGGTGATACGGTCCGATCCGACGCGGCATTCCGATTCGATCCGATTTCACGATGCGATGCTGACTGATCCTGGAGAGGTCATGAGGGGCGCAGTGGCGGCTGGCAGGAACCAGGAGGGAGAGAAGGAGGAGGAGGAGGAGGAGGAAATCTTCTGGTTTCCCAAGGAGGATTGGGGATTAGCGGCAGGTGTGATCCTGGCGGGGGACTGGCCATGCGCCCTTTCGGGGGGGGGGAGGGGTCCTTGCTAGATAGTGACCCTGACGCTTCCCCCCTTGCTCTTCTTTCAGCAGTCCCTTCGATCATGCATTGGTGGCATGAAGAGAGAGCCACTGAACAAAAAATGAGAAGGAGGAGGAGTAGGAGAAGGAGGAGGAGGAGGAACGAGTGAAAAGAGGAAGTAGGAGGGAAACAACAAGGAGGATGAGGAGGAGGAGGAGAATGAGGGAGGAGGAGGAGGGAGGAGGGAGGGAGGAGGAGGAAGGAGGAGGAGGAGGAGGAGGCAAGAGGAGCAGCAGGAGGTACCGCAGAACACCGCGCGCCACGCCCCGCGCCGAAGAGCACCCCCCTCTTGCTCGAAAGCCGAGGGAGGCCGCCGCTCGTCTCCGCTGTGGGCCGCCCCGCCCCGCGGTGGGACGTGCCGGGATGCCGTCTGCGGAGGCGCGCGCGCGCGTCGCGGGGAGATGTCTCTGTTGCGCGCAAGAGGGAGCCTTCGCCGAAGTGACCTTTGGTGCGGGTGCGCAGGGCCCCCCCCAAGATTGGCCTGCACGCGCAGATTGCCCCCCCCCCCCCCCCCGCCCCCTCAACACCGCGGCCCCCGAGAGCCGCGCACCAGAGGTCACTCTTGCCCCTGGGGGCACTCCTGCATGTAGCCGGTGGTTGTGAGAGAGTGACAGGTCGAAGAAGAACAAACAATTGCGCATACATGCGGTCGGGAACCTCTGCGTCAGCATGTCGCTCTTCACCGGCCCTGGCCCAGCGCTCATCGGCGCGACGCGATCTCCATCTCGTGGTCTCCAGGCGCCTGCGTGCCGAGTCTTCTCTCAGCTTTCCCGCCGTGCAGAGCGGAGCGACACGCTGTCGACTCGCAGGGCATGGCGTGTCGCCTGGGCCGCCGCCGGGACACGCTGCGCAAAAGCTCCAAACCGTAAACTTCCGGAGGTCCGCGCGCATTTCTCAAGCAGTGGCGAAGCGTCCTGGCGTGCCTATAGGCCTACCAATCAATGTTCTAAGAATTGTTCACGACATGTTCTTAGAACATTTCTGGCTCAGCCTGTTTTGTTTTAACACATCGAGTTTATGTTCTCAGAACATTGTTTTTGTTCGTAGAACATTTGTGTGTTCGTGGTAGGCCTATAGGAATGCCGGGACTGTCGGTCCCTGCTCTATTTTTTTTTATCTGCGCTGGACACCCTCGGGCGGCGCCTCCGGTGCCGCCCCTGGCGCGCTCCACGCGCCAGGGAAGGGTGTCCGGCGCTGAGCTACGAGATTCGCGCGGATCTGCAGCAGTTTATGCTGGTGCAGTTATCGAGGGCGCTTGCGGCGAATCACCCCCGCCCCCTGCCTCATGGAATCGCCCGTGTGGCCGAGCGTTGTGGCAAGAGCTGTGTCAAGCTATCTGACCATGTGTTCCCCAAACAGTTGTGGAAATTAAACACTTGGGGCAGGATGGCGGGGAAGATCAGGAGTTGGAGGAGGGGGAGCAGGAGGAGGAGGAGAAGGAGGAGGATGAGGCGGAAGGGAGGGGGTATCTTGGGAGCCTCTGGGGGTCACTCTTAGGGCCTCCTGGGAGCTTCCCGGGAGTCTCTTGGAAGGATCCTGGGGGGCCTTCTTGGTCCTCTTGGGGGGCCGTCTTGAGCCCTCTCTGGGTCGACTTGGGGCCCGGGGCCCTCTTGGGGTGCTCCAGGGCCGTCTTGGCGGCCATCTTGGGCACCTTGGAGGCCTCTTGGGCCATGTTGGGGCCCTCCTGGGGCCGTCTTGAGGGCATCTTGGGCCGTTCTGGGGCCATCCTGGAGTCCCCTTGGGCGAACTTTGGGGGCGGTTGGGCCGTCTCGGGCCGTCAGAAGGCCGACAAGAAGCAAATGCCAAAATCCTTCAAACACCTACGGGAAATCAATGATGCTGGCCTCTTCGGGCCTTTCTGGAGGTCCTCTTGAAGGCCGTTGTGGCCGTGTTGGAGGCCTCTTGGGGGCCTCTTGGGCCGTCTTGAGGCGGTCTTGGAGGCCTCTTAGGCCGTCTTGGGCCACTCTCTGGGAGCATCGGAAAGCCGAAATGGCGAGAACGCTAAAATCCATCATACACCAATGGCAAATCAATGATTTTGACTTCTCGGGCCCTTCTTGGGAGGCCTCCTGGAGGCTTCTTCAAGAGTCTTGGACGCCTCTGGGCCGTCTTGGAGCCCATCTTGAACCCTCTTGGGCCATCTTCAAAGCCATCTTGGACCATCTTGGGCGAACTTGGAAGCCATCTTGGGTTATCTGGGCCCTCTTGGAGGCTATCTTGAGTCGTCGTGGAGACTTGTTTCCGGACTGCTCGTTTAGGCGCCTTCGGAGTGGCCGGCGGGATCAGCCGAAGCCACAGGGGGAGTTCTTCTGGATAATAACCTCGACGCGGGGCTCCCCATATGTGCATCTCATTCTCTTGGTACGTCTTTCTCTTGATATCTGTCAATGAGCGCCTGTGTGCGAGGGCGAACCGCTCGCTCGAGACATTCCCACAGTCTGCAAGCATGAGTGCGACCAATAGCAAATCTGAGAGCGACTGATTCTGAGTGTGAGTTAATCTGGGTGCGATTGAGCCTGGGTTTGAGTGGGTATGCGTGTGAGTCAATATGAGCGCGAGTGCGTCTGTGTGCGAGTGGGTCTGGGTATGGACGAATCTGAGTGTGAGCCAGTCTGTGATTGAGCGGATCGTAGCATGATGAGTCTGAGCATGAGTGAGTCTGGGCTTGAGTGGGTCTGAGTGTGAGAAAACGTGTGTGTTACTGAATCTGAGTGCGAGTGAGCCGAGTGTGATTGGGTATGGATGTGAGGCAGTCTGAGTGTGAGTCGGTCTGCGTTTGAGCGGACCGAAGGATGATGAGTCTGAGCAGGAGCGAGTCTGAGCATGAGTGGTTCTGAGCGTGAGTCTGAGTGTGAGTAAGTTTAAGTATGGATATGAGCGAGTCTAAGTGCGAGTGAGCCTGCGTGTGACTGAGTCTGAGTATGAATGAGTATGAATGCAGAAGAGTGAAGGAGAGCGGAGAGCGAAGGAGAGTGAGGCGGACGCGTTTGAGTAAAACCTAAAGCTTTGGAACATCGAACCTCGATCGTCTGGCCCTGGCTACTCGAGTTGCCCACGTCCTCCTCCTCCTCCTCCTCCTCCTCCTCCTCATCATCATCATCATCATCATCATCATCATCATCATCATTTCCTGCTTCTGCTCCTACCGTGTTCATGCTGTCCTCCTTCTCCTCCTCCTCCTCCTCCTCGTCCTCCTCCTCCTCGCTTCCTCCTTCTCTTCCTCCTCCTCCTCCTCCTCCTCCTCCTCCTCCTCCTCTTCCTCCTCCTCCTCCTCCTCCTCCTCCTCCTCCTTGGGAGTGCTGAAACCAGCAAATCGCCTGAGACATCCTCCCAAAACTGCTCCGAAAACGACAGATGCCCAGCATCATAACGGCCAAACCGCCTGAGACATCCCCGCAAACTGGGCGCGAACGTCCTCCAAATCTGCTCCGAAAGCGAAACATGTTGGAAGAGAAAATGGCCAAACCGCCTGAGACATCCCCACAAAATCCTGCGAAAGGGGCCGAGTGAAGTACCCCCCCGCCGCTCCATAGGAGTGCTGAAGCCACAGAATCGCCTGAGACATCCTCAACATCAGTGTGTGTGTGTGTGTGCGTCATCCGATGAGTGGACCTGAGTGAGGTGTAGTGAATGTACGAGTACAAGTACGAGTGAGTCTGAGTGATGAGTGAGTCTGAGTGATGAGTGAGTCTGAGTGATGAGTGAGTCTGAGTGATAAGTGGTGAGTCTGAGTCATGACTGAGTCCGAGTGATGAGTGAGTCTGAGTGATGAGTGAATATGAGTGATGAGTGGGTCTGAGTGATGAGTGAGTCTGAGTGATGAGTGAGTGGGTCTGAGTGAGAGGAGTGGTGTGTTCTCTCTCCTCCGGCGCGGTCCGCCAATAACAAGAGCCCCATGTTTAGGATATGGGGAAAACCAAAACCAAAAGCGGTAGGATAGGGGGTGTCGGATCGAAGACGCCTACGGCGAATCACCGCCCCCCCCTGCCTTTTTGGAAGCGCCTATGTGGCCGAAGGTTGTGGCCAGAGGCCTGCCAAGCTATCAGACCATGTGTTCCCCGAATCGGTTTGGAAAGCCTTCGGGGAACACGTGGGCATCTTCAAGGCCATTCTGACCCTTTCGGGCCTTCTTGGAGGACGTCTTGGAGGGCTCTTGGGCCGTCTTGGAGGCTATCTTGAGCGTTTTGGAGACCTCTTGGGCCGTCTTGGGGGCCTCTTGGGGCCGTGTCTTGGGCCTCTTGGGCGATCTTTGTGGGCACTTGGGCCGTCTCGGGCCGTCGGAAGCCAGAAAAAAGCAAATGCCATAATCTTTCAAACACCCATGGCAAATCAATCATTTTGGCCTTTTCGGGCCTTCCTGGAGGCCCTCTTGGAGGCCTCTTGGACCGTCTTGGGCCATCTTAGGGCCATGTGCGGCCGTCTTGGTGGGCTCCTGGTCCGTCTGACGCCGTCGGAAGCCGTTCGGGGGGCCTCTATGGGCCGACTGGGGGCCTTCTTGGAATGCTCCAGGGCCGTCTTGGAGGCCATCTTGGGCGTCTTAAAGGCCTCCTGTGCCGTCTTGGGGGCCTCTTGGGACCATCTTAGGGGCCCTCTTGGGCCGTTCTGGGGCCATCTTGGAGGCCTCTTGGGCGATCTTTCGGCGATCTTTGGGGGCTCTTGGGCCGTCTCGGGCCGTCGGAAGGCCGAAAAGAAGCACATGCCACAATCCGTCAAATACTTTAGGAACATCTATGTGTTTGGCCTCTTCTGGCCTTCCTGGAGGCCTTCTTGGGGGCCTCTTCGGCCGTCTTGGGCCAGCTTTGAGCCAACTTCGGCCATCTTGGTGGGTTCCTGGCACGTCTGACGCCGTCGGGAGCCGTCTTGGGGGCCTTTCTGGGCCGACTTGGGGCCTTCTTGGGGCGCTTCGGGGCCGTCTTGGAGGCCATCTTGGGCGTCTTGGAGGCCAATCTTGGGCGTGTTGGAGGCCTCTTGGGCCGTGTTGGGGCCCTCTTGGGGCCGTCTTGGAGGCCACTTGGGCTGTCATGGGGCCCTCTTGGGGGCCTCTTGGGCGATCTTGGGGGCCTCTTGGGCCGTCTTGAGCCGTCGGAATGCCGAGAAGAAGCAAACCCCCAAATCCTTCAAAAACCTATGGGACACCAATGACTTTGGCATCTTCGGGCCCTCCTGGAGGACCTCTTGGAGGCCTTTTGGGCCGTCTTGGAGGCCTCTGGGGGGCCTCTTGGGCAGTCTTGGACTCTCTTGGAGGCCGTCTTGGACCATCTTGGGCGGACTTGGAGGCCATCTTGGACCATCTTGGAGGCCATTTTGGGCCAACGTGGCCATCTTGGACGCCATCTTGAGCCGTCTTGGGGGATTTCTTCGGGACGTTGGGGTCCTGG